AAAATTTTTCTACAATTAAATTCACTAGCTTGAATTTTTAAAATGTATTTTGTTTTTATAAAATATATGACTGAAGAGTACAAAATTTGAGATTATCGGCTGTCAAATGTTATTAGAAAAATGTTTTAAAATAATATGCAAAAATGGAAATTTAATAATTGATATAATAAAATAATATACAAGTGAAAATAAGCTATGTTATACTAAAAAAAAAGTGGCTTTCCCAATTGTTAAATGTTAGTGATGAAAGATCCATTATCCATCCAGAAAAAATTCTTGTATGACCGATCCCAAGCTTTGTCAAAATTTTCTCCCAAACTCAGAATTGAGAAGAAAAAAAAAAAAAAAAAAAAGACCCACCCACAGTTTAACAAGGGAGAGCTTTTAGCTCCTTTTTTTTGGAGCTACATAACCATATTTCATAGACCAAATTGTAAATATTTTCTAGTATGACAACATCCTCAAATAAAATTAAAATTAAAGTGAAAATAAAAGGGGGATGAATCAAAATCTTGAACTTCATTGAGACAATGTACCTGAAAAAGCGGAGCTAACTATCAGGAATTGGCTGCTGTATGATGATTTTAAACTTCTGGAAGTTTTACCCAATTATTTAAAATTAATTTAACCGAAAACTTTTGGGGCCATCTAAAAGATAAAATTATAATTTTTTTGGTGGATCAAAGTTGGACAATTATTAAATTAGTTATATCAGAACCTATAAGACTAGAATGTTAATGTAGCACAAAAAAAAAAATTAATATCAAATATTTATATTAAATTACTTTAATTCTTGTAAGTATGATGTGTTTCCAAATACTTATGAAACTTTTGTTTTTACTATTATAAAATATAAAATTTTTATTTTTTTTTACTATGCTCTTTTTAAAAAAGATAAATAAAACAGGTTTAATTAACATAAAAATAAGAATCATACTACATTCCACCCATAGATTCTACTTAATCTACATGGAAATCTTCATGCTTGATAAAAAGCAATATATCTTCTATACCTGCATGATTGAGTGATAATTCTAAACTATGATTTCATAAAATGATAAGGGCAGGTAAAATTTATTATTTTTAAATAAATAAGTGGTTGTGATAAAATGATTTTTTTTTTCATAGATTATTAGTGATTATTTATAAGTAAAATGTTGTCGTGCGTTTCTACATTTTTATCCTCTTCCAAAATACATAAGAGTTATTAGAATAATTACTGAGTTTTAATTTATAATTAAAATTAATAAGTAAATGTTATGGTGCCTAACTGCATTTTGTCCTCATCCAAAATACATGAAAGCTATTACAATATTTTATTTGAATAATTACTATGATTTTAATTTATATTTATTTTCTTTCATATGGTACATATTTTAATCATAAGTTTCATAATGCAGAAGAAACAAAACAATACAAAAGAAAACAAACAAACAAACAAATATGAAAAACTTTTATTTTTCGGAAAATGACCTGATTAAGAGGATAAATATTGTATGCCAGATAAATGAAGAAATGAAAGACATGGATTTCAAAAACTTAAGTCAATTCAGCAAATCTAGTATTTTTCTTGTAGTCAGAAGAACGTAATTAGTCAGATTCACTGTTGTAGCATTGTTGCAGCCTCCACAACACTCGAATAATAAAAATTGTTAAAACAAAACATTTTCCAAATTTTATATATTTGATTTCTTCAGTCTAGATCAATTAATTATTCTTTTTTAAACAAACTTTAGCAACAATAATAATAAATTTGATTGCAAATAAATTAAAACTGATTAACAACGTAATGAAATATTTTTTTTTATAAAGTACATTGAAGGCTGTAATAAATCCAAATTTTTTGTAGTGTACCAATTTATTCTAATTTAATGTTTTCATAATTAATTATCCAAATTTATGAAATTCAAAACAATAATTTCATATCATAATTTTTTTTTGTTTCAAAATATATATGTTGTTAGCAAAATCAACAGAATAAACAATAAAATATTATAAACAAGATAAAACATTATAAACAAGATAAAACATTATAAACAAGAATAAAAACAATATACACATCATTAGATCAAATTTACAAATCAGTTTAATATTAATTATAAATTATCCATTAAACTTTCAATTGAGACCTAACAGACTCTCTATTATTTAAGTTTTATAATGTATTTAAAATGTTCACTTAAATAAATAAGACCAATAAGTTATTTTTTTAGGGAAACATTATTTTATTTAATATAAAAACATTTAATGAAGAGCAAGTTAATTTTAAATAGATGTTTGACTGAATATAGACCTAATATCAAATCAGTCATGAAATCAAATTAATAAGATTAAGAATACTATTAGTTGAAAGATTCAATCAAATATGAATGAACTATTTCTCTGAAAAATATTATTGAAAATCTTTTTCTAAACAAATATATTTTTAAATAAAAAAAAATACAAGAAACAACATAAATCATTTAAAATTGTTTAAATTATCATTAATTTCATTCTTCATTACAGGACAAACAATAAACCAAAAGAAAAAAAAGATCCTCATTTTCCTATGATAAGATAGTAAACTTCAAATAGTTATTTCAAAATAATTACAAATATAAAGAAAAATTATCTGGTGTAAATGAATATACAAAGCTTTGGATGAATAAAATAATTATCGATCAAATAATATGAAGATATTACATTATTGAGTATGTACATTAGAGACTTAGGCTAACTGTTTAAGCTTGATTTGAGAGGTACTGCACACACAAGGCAGATTAAAATGTTTAGAACACAGTTAGTGTTCGTACTAAAGATTTAGTTGGCTGGACGGATAAGGATTTTTCCTAGAGGTTTTTAATTATTTGAAAACTATATTGATTTTCATGATTTTTAATTTAATTATTGATATAATTACTACTTATTTAATATTAAAATTTAGTTCGATATACCATTTCAATGAATTTACCCAAGACTATCCCTGACATCTTTGGCTTTCGCTTTTTCAACTGAGTTATCGTATTAAAAATAGTAGAAATTATCTTGATTTTATTAAATATTATATTTGCAGGAAGAATATATAAACAGTTTTGTTTTTATAAATAGTAAATGAATTTTGTGTATGGTTATGATGGGGTTTCTTTTTGCGCCTGATACGTCGGACGTTCCGGCGGATCTTTTGTTTAGTTTTGATTTGGCGGGGGTAGTGGTTGATTGGGGGGTTGTGAGTTTCTGTTACAATCGATCTTGGGGCGGGAGGGGATTCTGTCACAATTGCCAAGTTTTGGTGGTCTCATCTTAAATTTGGTACGGGGGTCTCGTTTGCAGGCGTTAGTGGTGGGGTTTTTATACAATACTTGGTGTTTGTCTTGACACTGGTGTATATTGCAACTTTTTGTGTGGTTGATGGGGGTTTTTCGCGGTGTTGGTGGGGATGGGGGGGGGTGTGTGTCGAGAGAGACGGAATGAGTGGGTCGGTTTTGTGTAGCTAACATAGAAGCCGGTTGTGTCGGTATGCGGCTGTTTTGGGGTGTGGTTGTTGGTCGCGGTGGGTTTGTATGGTGAGCATGGGTGGGTGGGGGTCTTCGAGGGAGGACTGGTTTTTGATTTGCGATTTAAGAGTTGGATAATGGAAATCGGTGGTGTGGCAGCCAAATTTGTCGCGGTTTTCGATGGTCTTAGTGAGTACAGTGTTTGTTGGTCGTTTGTTTAGGGTTTTGTTTGAGTGATTAGAGGTTGGTTGGTGGGCGAAGGTGGGTTTTCGTCACGTGTGGGGGTTTGTTTACTTTGCTTCGCTTTTTTGGTTGGAGGTTGGGGTGGGATGTTTTTAGACTGATTCGGGGGTTTATCTTTTGGTCGCGGTCCAGTGGTTAAAAATTCACACTAAAAATTTAGTCGTTTCATATCAGAATAAACTTTCAATCCCCCCCAATAAACTTCAAGTCCCAACATTACTGTCTCTGATTAATGAGTTGGAAGACTTTTAGTTTGAAGAGCAATTCACTGCTTATCAGACGACTATTTAATTGCCTGACTAAAAGGTTTCCAGTAAGCCAACTCCCAGAAATCTTCATAGTAATCAAGCACCTGACTAAACAGTCAGCCAATAAAAAGTCTCTAGAGTGAACACTGTCTAATTGATTGTAAAAGAATAAAAAAAAGGACAAAATATATTTCTCAATAAACCTCTGAAAGAAAATGACATCCCTATAACTGTTGCAATCGATTATCTCGTTTTGTCATTTTGAAACCATTTACACTTACAAATAAAATTTAGTAAATAATAATCCAAGATTTTTTTTATGAGGAAGGTGATTGTTTTATATATATATATATATATATATATATATATATATATATATATATATATATATATATATATATATATATATATATATATATATATATATATATATAAACATAACTAAATAAGGAAATAAGAAAAAAAAAACCTTGACTACCAAAATTATTAAAAAAAATAAAGCATAAATAAGGAATTATTTTGGTGATTACTGTAATCATTTTGAAGATGAGATACTGAATTAGTTACTACATTTGGTAGGAATTTGGAGTGGTGAACAAAGCTTTATTAAGACAAAGGAATGTTTCATCTCAATTTCAAAAACCAGGTATTTAGGTAGATAACTGATCCTCTGATCCTCCTATTTTTGCAATACCCTACAAAATCAGTTGCTATAAAATACTTCTAGGTACATATATTGCAATTTTTTGAATAATATTTAGTGATTGATATAGGTTTCATGTAGAAGAAAGGCCTTTATAAATCTATTTATATATTTACACGGTAAATATTACCCTATAATATAATTCAATTTAAATATATCAAATCTAAACAATAATATTTTATTAGAAATGTTCACATCTATTTGTCCATAATTGATACTTTTGAATGGAACTTTATGTTATAAAGTTTGTATAAAAAAAAGTAAATGTCAAGTGTGTCTTGAGTGCAGAGTGAGCAATTTACAGATAGTCCGATGAGGGGAGAGGGCACCCTATCAGGACAGACTAAACAGCGCTGTATAGAAGATTGAGGAGTCGAAGAGAGGTGAGGCGAAGAGATGACATAATGCCGCTGTTAGGAGGTTCCCATTGTCAAACGGCGCTGTTGGGAAATCGAGGTGGTGGGAGGGGCGGAGGGGGACGCACTGGCTGAGCCAGATCTCGAGAAAAGTGCTCGGAAGCAGCTGCAACACATAGTCAAGTCCCTTCACTTCTTCCACTCATGAAAAAAAACTCCAAACAAGGAAAACAATTTTAAAACAAAAATTCCTACCATTGCTATATTTATTGGTAGTGTTTAAGTGCCATTTATGGTTTGCAGTATAAATAACTCATATTGGCATATGAAGGGTTACAAAAAAGGAAAAAAAAAAAATAAAAATACGTTTCAGGTGCATTTTAATCTATTTTCACTCCTTACACATTTAAAGAGTACAATATACATGATCTATGTTTTTTTTAGACAATTATAAATTCAAATATTGTAAGAAAATATGATCTACTCTTTTTCTTAAGGAAAAACTAAGTAGTTTATAATCACAACTTTATAAATGGCTTCCCAAAAAATTTAACAGTTTTATCCATAGAATAGAATATATTGTACTCTTAACAGTCTTTATTTTTAAAATAATGAATCCCTCCCTTACATGACTTTAGTAGCACATGCAAATCAAATATTGTTATTTTTGTAGTAATTTTGTTTGAATTAAAGTTAAGCTGTATAGGATAATAATGAAATGAATAGTGAGAGAAGCGGTGCCAATAGGTAAATAGATTTTCGTGCCATTTGGTCGAATCGTACCTGTTGGCACAGAGGCACACGCTGAATCTCGCCTTCGATTCTATTTACTTGGATAACAATGCTCTTCTCTCAAACGGGCTCCCCACTGCATATCACAAATAAATGTATTTTCATAATATTTTAAGTACATACTATGATATAACTATAATTTAATTTTCAAATCTATTAACTAATAAGCACTTCAGTTATAATTAATGTAAGAGAATCATGAATAATGAAATAATTAATGGAAGAGAATTATTGTACTTCATTATCATTGTCATTATCTACAGTATACTTTAAACAAAGCTTGAATAATGTCATTATGTAATTTTATCAAGTAATAGAACTAAAAATAAATTTTAAATATTTTAACATTATATCAAGCCTACTTAGTAAGACTAGCAGTAGTTTAAAGTTAGAAAATATATATAAAGAGGGGTGTTCATGCCAGAATACTAGATCAAGACTGCATTAGCTTCTAATTGTGATATCTTCTAGTTAAGCCTTAGGAGAATTTTAAATAATTAATAATTTTTTTTTGTGTACATGTGTTTACGTTTGTTATTATTTCAAATTTTCATTTATACTATTAGTTAAAAAAAAAATACAAACAAATATTGATGTTATAATTATAAAAGAAATAAACACTCGAACATGTCACATCAATTTTTATATTAAAATGGGTATTTTATGATAGAGTAACTGACATAGTATTTGCGAAACATATTGACTACAATTATAGAGCTTATTAAGTTTTAATTATTTTATTTTTAAAGTTTTATTTTAATTAAAGCATGCAGTTTGCAAAGCTTTCTAAATGCATGCACTTTGGAGGTACAGCGTTATTTCAAATAGTATATGTACCATTAAATAAATCATTACTACTAATTAGAAAATAAAAAATATTCAATTTAAGTATTATTAATAATACATGATTAATATTATTATTATTTTATGTGAATATTTTTATTATAAAATATTTTATAAATGAAAATTTATTAGAAAAACACAAAATGGATTTTTGTAATAGTGTATCAATTGGCTAAAATATTATGTGATAATATAATAAAAATATTTTCTGTTCTTCATTCATAATTTGATTAACTTTTTTTCACAACCAATTCAAAGATAAAAAAAAATTATATGAATCATAATTTTGATCTATGCATGATCCCGTAAACCGACAATGGAAAAGTATCCAGTATAATTATTGAAAATAACGGAAATCTGCTTTGAATTTCATTATTATAGATATTATTGTTATATGATTTTATGAATAAAATATATTATGACCTAAGACCTCTAAAATAAAACAAAATAAATATTTAATTTTTACACTATATACATGCTTTTAAGGAAACTGGATAAAGGCATGAATAACTGAGGAAATGGGCTTCTTCCTAATTTTAGGACTAATGCCGAAGCTGAGGTGTTATTTTATTTTTTTTTTTTTATTACATGCAAGAACATATATTTACATTCCACACAATTCAATTAATACTAGCTCAACAAAAAATAAACTATAATATGTATATTTTAAAATATATGTATATTTTTTTAAATCATAGCCTGGTTAATTGTATTTATGGTTGGCTCCAATATCCAAATTAATAATATAGAAAATTTGAAATGAAAATAAAATAACGTACTCTTCAATGCAAAAGTTATTTTTCATTAGGTATAACAAAATATGTATTGGAAAATCACATAGATTTTTTTTTTTACAAAAAGCAGGTAGGAGGAGGTTTACATAAAGCTCATTTATTTTCTTTCCAATAAATTTATAACATCTCTCCTTATTGAATTTGTAATAAACCTCAAAAAAATATATACAAGTAAAAATGACTTAAAATTGACTTCTTAGTCATAATGGTTGTTCACATAAGTAAAGGTATAAGATTCACCACATTAATTTTTGAAGGAAGCTAGTCGACTGTTCTACATATTATGGGTGATAAATATTCAGGGCGCAGTCATTGTAAAATTTTTTTCATTTGTGCCGACATTTCAACCCAAACATGTAGGTCATCATCAGGGCTGAAAATTTTAAAATACATTAAGAGATATAATAATATACGACTGATAATGGTAAATAATAAACTATAGTGATTGATGATATCTAAAACGTTATACAAATTAACTTTTGCTATCTGGAAAAGAACAACTGGGAAATCCTCCATCGACCCTTTCACTTACCTACCAAATATCTCAGTGCTAGATTGCCCTCAGTGCTCGAACCACGGTTAGTAAGAGAAAATATTACAAATTTTTATAAATGGATTATATACATAAGTTTTAGTTTGTATAACTTTTTACACATTTCATTTTTAATATGTGTATTGTAATATTAGTTAAGATTCATGCACCATCAATCACTATAGTTTATTGTTTGCCATTATTGGTCGTATAATATTATATCTCTGAATTATTTTAAAATTTTCAGTCCTGACGATGACCCATATGTTCGGGTTGAAACGTCGACACAAATAAAAAATTAAAAAATTTTTACAATGACTGCGTCCTGAATATTTATCACCCAAATTAATTTTATTTACCATAGTTTAAAACTAATCACACCAATACTGACCAACTATGATGATAATCTTTAATTTATAATTTTTAATATCAACTCAAGCCAAACTATCATGAATCAACATTCAATCTATCTATAATATTAAAAATAATAAGTAAAGAAATAGTAAGTTGCTTCTAGAATTACTAGGAATTAAAATAGATATTTTTGTAAATGATATGTTAGGGATAAAAAAAACAACAACAAAAAAAACTGTTGCAGCCTTTGAATAAGGAGAAAAGGAGAGAGAAAGAAGAGAAAAAACAAAAAAAAAAAAAAAAATTTGATTGTCTATTTTATTTAGTTGAAATATAGTATTAGTAATTGTGTTTTTCTTTTTAAAAAAATATTACTTCCGTGGACTTTACATGAATCTCATTAAAATAAAATTTAAAAAAAGAAATAAAAAAAAAAGAAAAGAAAAATTACATGCATGATATTAAATTCAGTAATACTAACTTGAACGAGGGTGATATTTTTAGTTTCGAGTCCACTTTCATTAAAATTGTTTCAATGATTCTTAAAATAATTACAAAAATCTATTGAGAATAAATAATTACAAATATTAGTATTAATCTTGTAAGAAATTTAATTCTCTACAAGATGCATTGTGGGCTAAGAAACGTTTATTAAGATAAAAACATTGACATATCAAAAACTTTTGTTTTATAAAAAAAATATTGCAGGTTTTTATGGTCCAGCACTGAATAAGTGATACAAGTTTTTCAATATGCTAAACATAAAACTTGCAGCAAATATTCGTCCCCGCAATGCACTAAAAACGAGTTATTGAAGGAAATACAGAAGAAGTGGAAGGTTTAAAACAAAAATGAATCTTCATTTTGCATTCCTAGCCCTTTTTTGAGCTATTTTTAATGGGCTGGTTGCAGGACCAACACTTTATTTGACATACAAACTAGGTAAATTTGAGTAATTGATTAAAATGAAAAATGTATTAATTTTATGTAGATCAAGATATATGTTTCAAACGGGCTTACAGCAGGGAGATGGACTATCACTGATGTTGTTGTTCAACTTAGCTCTAGAGAAGGTGATAAGAACAACATTACAGGAAAATGGAGGGATTCAAGTTGGAATGAATCATAAAATCCTTGGAAACGCAGATGATATAACTGTCCTTAGAATTAATCAAGAGAACATTGAGAAACTCGCTACAACTCTCATAAGACAGGCAAAGCAGATCGGCAACAAGTAAATGAGAACAAAACAAATATATGGTAATAAGCCAAAATTCCACTCCAATAACATGATATGTGTAAAAAAAAAATCATTCCAGAGAGTACAAAAATTTAAATACCTTGGCTCCACAATAATCTCAATGAATGTCAAACGGTCAGAAATAGCTCAATGTATAACAAGCACGAACATAATTTTCTTCTCCTTTTTAAAGGTATTGAAATTCTGAAAAATCCCAAATTAAGGATGTACAGTGCTATGGTAAAGCCAGTTCTAATATATGTCTGTGAGACCTGGACACTAACCAGCACCCTAGAAAAAAGTATTGAAAGATTTGAGATAAAAATATGCCGTGTGATAACTGGAGCGATCTGGGATCAGAGTACTAACACATGGAAAAAAAGGACCAATAAAGAACTATTTACAGAAACTGGTCAATCAATATGAATTGACATGAAGCTGAATGAGTTTAAGATAGGTGGGGCATGTAGCTCATAGCCATCCATTTAGAAGCCTCTATCTAACAACGAATGCCTCAATAGAAGGCAAAAAACCACATGGGAAGCCAAAAAGCAGATGGATAGATAGAATCAACAAAGATGCAATAGAGCTGCGTAGAGATTATTAGAAAGAAATAGCCCAAGATAGACAGAGATGGAGCAGGCTTGTTAAGGCGACAAAAGATTGCAAGGTCTATAATGTATATAAATCAATAATGAGATTATTTATACTTAATTTTAAATTAAAATACGTATAATAAAATTGTTTGGACTGTTAATGCTGGAATTCAAAAATTTAAATAGTAAATAATTATATTAATATCATATGACGTATATGAAATATAGGTGTATTTTATTTTGCATATATACTGATAATAGTTATATAATAGTATTATCTTGAACTAGGCAATATAATTGGTTAACTTTTGCATTGAAGAATATTTTATTTAAAGGATAACTACTTACAAAATGAACAATAAAATGGATTTTTTTGCTAGAAAAATAGGCAATATACAATATTCAATCATAATGAATTACAAGAGGAAAAAAAAAAAAAGATATATATATATAAACATTAAACAATTTAAATAGATTTTTAGTTTTCAAATGATGATTTTTATATAAACAGAACTTTAGACTACACCGAATTACATAGCTTTAATTTGACTGTTAACAAAAAAATAAATAAAAATTAAAATATGATAGCAGTTTACTATTGATGGACTAACTGTAACTAAGAATTAAGCTTCTTTTATCCACACATATATAACAAAACATTATATAAATCATAAAAAATAAAATACATATTTTGCTAGAACTGAGGACACAATACAATGAATAACACCCAAATCCTTGGGCAGTACTTGAAACTACGAAAACTTCGAATGCTTACATGTATCGGGGAGTGGCTTTTCCTCTGCCACCATTAAAGCTGCACGTTCGGATGGAGGCATTCGTTGCTCTAATGCATTCACACAGTTAAGCGTGCTCCTGGAAAAAGAGGCAGCGCACCTTTTTTTGTTCTCATTATTATTACTAACATATCTGACTCATACTTATAAATTCATAAGTATTTTTCTTATTTATCATTAATCAAGTTTCATTAAAGGAATATCTCATTTACTTCACAAATCTTAATTAACAACTCATTAGATATTTCTTGGGTTTATCTGTTTTAAAATCTAGATAGAAAAACAGAATTTATTTTTATGAAGAGAAGTATAATATATAATGTTCTACAGAAATATTTTAAAGGCCATACATTAACTTTTTGTTGAAATATTAAAATTACTTACTGACAAGATGAAGATGAATTTATTTATTTATTCAAGAAAATAAATAGTCAAGAATGGTGTATTTATTGGCGATATCAATACAAACATCGATCTAGTTGTGCCTTTTAATTAGTTCTCTGATTACTTATAAAACTAAAATCTTTCCATGAACAGTTAATTGACTAAATTGAAGATATAAAAATGAATGTTAGTAATAATTGAATGAATTAAAATAATGTATTGGTGAAAATATCTTCTATAAATATATACCTATTATTAGTAGATATATACTACATATAATGAGTTAATGTAAGAAATATTTGAATAAAGCAAGTAAAAATAGGGAATAAAACCACCACTGGAGATAAAAGCAACCTTAGTGGCCACTGTTTATACTGAGATTCTCAAATATCAGAGGACCTAAACACTGAGCACATCTTCTTCAGCTGACCAAGAGCCTGTCTTGTTGCAACGGGCAGCCTTTCCCATGCATATTTATCCTTATAGTAATAAACAGACAACTTTTCCCAAAAAACATTAATATAAATTAAATAATGGCCCATTCCCAACACATCGGCCATCTTTTTTTTTTCACTGTAGTAAACTCTCACTCCGCTTAGTTAAAGTCTTGTCAAAATAAGTAATGTTTAGTGTTTTAAGTTCTGAAATAGTCAAATGATTATGTTATATTGTTTTTGTTAGTGCTTACAGTCTCAAGTACTAAATTTTATAATGTAAACTTTTGCATGGACAAAAGCCCATCTGCTGTACTATAGCTAACATATTTCACCAATTTAAATAATAGAGACATATGAAAGTTTGCAAGTGAATATAGCCATTACAGTGTGGTGAAGTAAACTGAGTATGTGCATGAAACAAACTTTTATCAAAGGTGATGAGTGAAAGACTATAAATTATGTGCATGCATTGCCAACATTCATGCAAACCATTTTTTTAATTAAGTAAAAAAAATCACTTACCCGTATAGCCTACTGTCTCGTAAACTTCCTCTTTAATGCCATTCAAGATGAAAATTAATATTAAAATCATTAATTTAACAAAACATTAAAAAATCTCTTTATTTTAAACTTTATAAATATACAACAGTTACAAATGAAAATAAGAGTAAAATCATAGCTTTTAAAATATCAGATATAATAATTTATAACTTTATAATATACAAACTTTCATTTATAGGCATTCATATAATCATTCTAATAATATAATTAACTTCAATATATCAAAAAAAGAAATGATATATTATAAATAGTAATTCTATTTACAAAAAAAAAAATTAAAATAAGGAAAAATACTATAATTCTTATTTCTTGTAGCAAAGGAATATAAATTTCATTCTCATTCCACAATAAAAACAGAAAATGATCTTACCTTCCATTATTATTCCTAAATAATACGAGTATTTCTTCAAAAGTTTTATTTTTTGTTTCTGGCACTCTTTTATAAGTGAAGATCCAGAATCCAGCTAGAAGAACACTAAATGGGAGAAATGTATAATTTTCTAATGATGCCTAAAAAAAAAAAAAAAAAAATAATAAAAATTGAATCAATTAATAAAATTTTCATCAATTAATAATGCACTTTGAAATATAGTTAGTATAACATATAAAAAACATCAAAATAAATTCTGAAAAAATGTATTTAACATAGTTTAGCTTGAAATAAAATATTATAAGTCTTTATAATATTTTAAGTCTTTATAATAAATATTTTCAATATTATAAGTCTTTTTATGACCGCCATCCCGGACTATCTCCTTCCTCATTATCATACCGTAGGTAATGTATGCATATATTATTACATTTTATATAAAATAAGGCCTATTCTGTTTAACTGTTTTAAAATTATTTTTAAACATATAGGTATTATACGGAGGCATTCCGGTACGTGCAGGAGACTCCTTCGGCCCTTGTTGCCAGTGTGGGGGGCGGCCTCGGGGTTAAGATTAACATCGAGGACGTCGATTTCGTGGAGCGCTGTAGACCTAAAAAAGACAATCCTAGACCACCACCGGTTATAGCTCAGTTTGTGAGGAAGGCAGTACAAGACGAGCTGGTACAAAGAAGAAAGGTCAAAAGAGACTTTTCAACCCGAGACATTGGCTGGCAGGAAAACGACTCTCACCGGATATATCTGGGTGAAGAAATGACCCCTGCTAATAGACGGCTGTATTGGCTAGCAGATCAGAAGAGAGCTGCTGGTAAGCTAAAATACGTATGGTTTTCGGCGGGTAGATTGCGCTGCAGAAAAGGAGATGGCCATCCAGTGATATACATCGACCAACCAGATGATCTAGATGTTTTCTGATGACCTTCTGATTTACGTCAACTTACAGAATGCATCCCAATCTTCTATTGTATAATACAGCACCGTGCTGGGTTGCCCATCCATTACCATTATTATTGTTTTCTCTTTTCTTACAGCCATTATTTACTTCATTCCAAATTTACTTCATCCATCATATATATATACTTTTCTCGTTTCCGTTATGTCTAGCGTCTTAACTACTTGCCATGTTAATTCACAATCCCTTCCCGCTCATTATGACAAATTTCTCCAATATTTCACCAGTAATTTCTACCACATTATTGCGTATGCCCTCGGGCAGTGGAAGGAATTTATTGCATGTATATATTGTATTATTGTATACTATATATGTAATTGTTTCAATAAACATTTTGGAGGGTAAGAAAAAAAAAAAAAAAAAAATTATTGCAGTTTCTGAAACATGGCTTAAGCCCTATATCCCTTCCTCTTCCGTTTCCTTACCTGATTATACCTTCATCCGTCATGACCGGGTTTCCCAAACTGGTGGAGGTGTTGGTCTCTAAGTTCACAGTAGCCTGAAACCACGTATTCTAGATATTTCATCCCCTTCCAATCATCCTCACATTGAATTCCTATTCGCTGAAATTTCTTGTAAAGCACATCCTCTCCTTTATGTGGTTGTATATCGCCCTCCTTTGACTCCTTTTGACACATCCTTTGAACAATTATATCCCTTTCTATAATAACATTATAATTTACGGTGACCGTAGTACCAACCTCCACACAGAATCCAACAACAAACGCTACTTGGAAAACCTCTTATTCTCCCTCAACCTTTTCATTGTTCCTTTCGCTCCTACCACCATACCTGGCTGGACTTGCATATCATCGATTCAGAGTAGAAACTCTTGTCCTGTTCTTAATTACCTGTTCCTTTTCTTTCTTCTCATGATCTCCTCCAATTATCGTACGATATCCAAACTCCCACATTTTTTCCTAAAACCATAACTTTCCGCAATCTTGACACCCTCACCCATGATAAAATCCTACCGGACCTTCAAACCCTAAACTGGAACGATATTTATTCCTGTACCTCTATTGATCATATGGTAGATATTCTCATTTCTATCTTCTCCATATTCTTGACATACATGCTCCTATCAAAACCTCAATCTTCCGTAGCCAACCTGCTCCTTGGATGTGTCAACAAATCCATGACATGCAAAAGAGACGTGAGGCAGCCCATAGACGCTTCAGACGAACTCGACTAGCAGATGACTATCAAGTCTATAGGGTACTCCTTAACTTGACACAAACAACGATCAGGAAAGCGAAGTCAAACTTCTTTCATGAAACCTTCTCTTATGCTCCTGATTCTAAATCAATATGGCTAATCCTTCATAAACTCTCTCTTTGTAAGTCCTCTTCCTCACCGACCTACCCGGTCTCACCTGATGAACTAAATTCCTACTTTATATTTTCCACCACCAGCAACAGCTCACTCACCTCTAATCAGTTTTCCATATCACCCTCATTTAACAGTGATAATTTCTATTTCTCCAACATTTCACCAACCGACCTTATTTCCTCTATAATGAAATCCCACACAAACTCCATCAGATTTGATGGAATACCAGTCAAACTGTTAAAATTATGCCTTCCCGAAGTCGTTCCAGTTCTCCTTTTCATCTATAATTTTTCCCTCCAGAACTCAGGAAAAAAGTATTAGTTAGACCTATTAACAAAATCCCCAATCCTACTTCTCCTAAAGTCTACCGCCCAATCTCCATTCTTTCTAACCTTTCTAAACCCCTGGAAAGAATAGCTCAATCCCAAATCTCTAAATTCCTTGAAAACTCAAAACTACTTGATCCTCTCCAATCTGGTTTTCGACCTGGCTTCTCCACACAATCCGCTCTACTAAAAATTAATAATGACTTACATACCGCAATAGACGAAAAAATGTTAACTATGTTAATACTTCTCGACTTTTCCAAAGCTTTTGACTCCTTAGACCACTCTATACTCTACACTAAATTAAAATCTCTATCCTTCTCCAACAGCTCTATCCTCTGGTTGCAGTCTTTCCTATCCGACAGAACTCAAGCATTCAGCATTCCAAACCAACCCCTATGTTCCTTCCTTACACTGTCCTCTGGAGTGGCCCAGGGTTCGAGCATTTCTCCTCTCCTTTTTAATTCCTACATAAATGATCTTTCCAAATCCATTTACCACTGTTCACATCATTTATACGCTGATGAATCCCAAATCTATTTTTTCTTTCATCCTTCTGAGCTACTAGTCGGGTTGCCAATATTCAGGCAGACCTAGATAGGATCAGTGCCTGGGCAAGTATGAATAATTTAAATCTAAACGCAATCTCCTGGAAACCCCATATCGCCCTCCTCTCCCATAAGTCAATAGGGACCCTTAAGCTATTTCATCGCTCCCGCCACCTACTCCCACAATCCATCCGCAAGCTCCTTGTATCCTCTCTCATTTTCCCCCACTTTGACTATGGCTGTGTGGTGTACGGAGGCATCCCGATGGTGCTCGAGGATAAATTGAAGCGACTGATGAATACGTGCTTAAGATTTGTCTTCGGTACATCGAGGCAGTCTCATGTGTCCCACCTTTATGACGAGTTAAAGTGGCTCTTCCCTTCTTTCCGCAGACAATATTTCCTTGGATCTTCCCTATTCCAAACAATCAACACCAGACACCCTTCCTACATCTACAGCCCCCTACAGTTTAAACCCGTGGTCCACTCCAAGAAAACAAGATCCCGTATTTCCGACCTTTATATCCCTTCCCATAGAACTAAGACGTTTGAATATTCCTTTATTGCCCGATCCACAGCCTTCTGGAATTCCTTGCCATCTGATATCCGTCATGCCTCTTCCTTGTCCTCATTTAAATATCATCTTTACCAATTCGTTCTCACATCCCAAAATGAGCTTATACAATAAAATAAATATTGAGAAACAGATTTTGACTGAGGTGAATGGTTGTTAAAATTGATTGAGTTTTAATTTTACAAATCAACCCATGCTTATTTAATTTTGTTTTCTTTTCATTTAAATAATGTTTTTGTTATTTTGTTTTTTCTCAAAATGGTGTTATTTTTACTTGTTTTAATATAATTTCACTGAAGATACTGTATGTATTCTTTAATAATGACTAATGTAATTTTTGGCCAGATGTAGTTTTTATTTTCTTTGTTCATATCTGTTATTCATAAGGGACCTCGTTCCAGAATAAAGTTTACTTTCTATTTATTTATCTATTATAGAATCATAAGTCAAGGAAAAAATAAGATAGATAGAGGCAACTAATACACTGATGTAATACTAGAACAGACAGTAGACTCGAGTAAGATATAAAGATATGACTAATGTTAGTCATTCCTTTTTTAATAAATAAATTCTGGATATGTGAGATTTCAAAATTCTTATGCACTTCGAAAGGGAGAGATGTATGGATTATTCAATCTATTCTAGTTGGAGTGAGTATTATCTGTCATAATTTCTTGTATTTGAATACAACTGAAACTGATAATCTTTAAATATGCCAATTTTCTTTTATAAAAATGGCTCAGTTATTGGAACTAGGATCAAGATCAAGTTAGTTCTGAATAGAATTAGAATTTTTATATGTTTTATATATTTTTACCAAATGAAAATTTGTAAAATTCTCCTCAAACAAAATTCATTTAAAGCAATTAAAAAGAACACAAGAAGTAAAATAGAGCATTTTTAATTTTATAAATGTTTGTAAATATTAGGAATTTTAGGCTAGAAAGAATATTTTTTTCATATTGGCCTTGAGTAGTATATTTAAACAAAAAATGATTATGATTATAAATTAGATAATATTTTAATCTTATTTGATTTGAATAAGAAGATTAAATTAAAGATATTTGTTATGGTTGATTTTTGAAAAGAACAAACCATTCCAGAATTGTGCTAATCAAATTTCAAGAAATCTCTTATGTATTATTTTTGACTCTTTTCCCGAATACAACCATGGAAAATTAAAGGATTCATGTTCTGTTCTTAGATTACATTTTGATGGAACAGAATAAGCTAGGATCTCAGACTGATAAGAAGAAAAAAACAGTTAAGCAAACTGCCCAGAATGGTCTATCTATAATAAGGATTGCATAAAAATGAACAATCATGATTAAGTTGTTTACTATAAAATAAAATGTATTTTATTTTTTTTAACTTATATAATTTCATAA